TTCTTTTTGAAGTTGAGCCACATTTGTCGAGTGGTGCCTTCTTCTTTTAATTTTCTGTTCGAAGAATGAGATTTAAGCAATAATTTATAGGAAATGACGTCAGTCAACTAATTAGAAGCTAACTTATTAAGACCTTGTCTGTATTCTATGCATATTCATTGTTATCATGGCTGCCTAACAATTAGAGTAAATAGTTATCAAAGGCAAGTTAAGACAAGAATTTGCAAGAGCGCCATGTTTCTTGTATGTAATAATGCTTTAGAACAGGTCCAGAGGTACAGAGTGGAGCAAAGTTTCCCAGGCAACTCTGAGACTATGCACCACAAACTGCAGTAGTGACGCAGAGAATCGTCACCAAGTTTTGTTATACGATTTTTGAAGGGAATGTATGAACTCTCGTTAAAGTCGTTGAGAAGTGATTAACCTTCAGCAGGAATTTGTATAAAATGCGCTGTGCAAAGGTATGCTAAATGATTCAATCCCACCAAAATCTCACCACAGTCATATTGTTTTTGAGAGGCGCACGGCAGAACATTCGGTTTGTGAATGTTTCGTCATTGCAAGACCAAGGCTTGCACGTCGAGGGAGTGACTATAGCCGTTGGTGGAATAAAGATAAATCGCCACAAGAGAGTTGATTTATATATGTGCATTCCTTTTCCATTTTCTTAGTTCTTTATGCGCTTCTGGGTTGTTAAAAAAAATATTCAAAAATGCATGACTTCAGGAAGAGATTGCACTATGGGCATTCATCTGAACAGCCAAATTCTCCGTGACCGCGTAGCCTTGTAAATAAACCGGTTTTCCCTACAACATTAAATTAATTACTCTACTACAATGAAAAAAAGGGATTTCAACACAGGACTCAGTTTTATTGGTCATCATGGAGTTATCACTATTACTTCTTTTCAATCAAGTACGCATTTTATCTTGCAACAATGTGTACACTTACTTTTGATGCTTAGTGCATGTAATTCTTTTTTTTACCGCTCACTACTTTTGATAGCACTTACAGAATGCTGCAACTTTCGCCTGTGCAGCAAACTTGACAACAGCAAAATCAACAAAGCAATGCCTCTGCACCGCAAGACAAGATGGTGGCAATGTCAAATCTTTAACCTACCATCAGCTTCAGCGCTGAGGCGCACCAACTCGGCGTGTCTTCGGTCTTCGGTCGACGTTAACTGGATTTGGCTTCTTCGCAAAATTGCATAGCCTTAAATGACATACTATCTTTGCTCTTTCCAGTTAGCGATTACTTCTGCTGCTGCTTCTGAAGTTTTCGTGTTTTTATCTGCATGCTGGTGTTGTACAAAGTTGGCATTTCACTGCCAGGGCAGTCAAGTATTGAATGAAATTGAATGCATGCAAAGGCATTCATTCGCACGGATTTGCGGCACCTAAAGAGTGCCAACGCCAACGGAGCAATCGGGGGGGGCGAAAGGATATAAGGATGTAAGGAAAAGGAAAATAACAGCAGCAAAAGGGCTGCCAATACTTGTAAACGTTGTTGTTGCTGCCTTTAAAAAAGCATACTTCGATGTACTCGAGTTGATGCTGCGAAGCGCAGAAGCTGTGTGTGGCAGCATTTGCCAATGCAAAAATGCAATTTTGAACGTTTTTAATCTCCATGTGCTGCGCTCTGTAATATTCGTTTTTTTTTTGTTATTTTTTCTGCTTTAAGTTTTTTGATTTCTCTCTTTTTAATCCTTTATTAATCCGCTTATTGTTTGCTTTGGAATTTTCGTAACAGATTTCTTTTGTGTATCTCCTGTTTTACGGTTTTTTGTTTAGTTGCATGCAGTTTGTGAATCGGTGCACAAATACAGACACACATACACATGAGCACCACAACAACAACAGCGTGCTTTTAGTGCGCAGTCCACGCAGAAATGCACCACAGCGATTTATGTTTTATTTTTTTTTTTGATTTTTATTTTTTTAATTTTTTAAATTTCTTTGTTAAAATGTGGTCGAAAAAAAAAATACAAAACAGAAAAAAGGGAATTCAGAAAAATAAACAACACTGGCTTCCAACGCGTTTAGTTGGTCGGTTGAAAAAAAGGGAAAACTCCAATAAAGTGTAGTGTATGTGTGTATGTATGTAATCAAAAGGGGAACGGGGGTTTAGAATTCGACTCAAGGCATACATACATACATATGCATATAGTTAGTAGATAGGTATGCAATAGCGTTAAAAATAGTTACAGCAACACATTTAGTGGGTTGATTACAATATTTGGAATTATTTAAAAAATAGTTGAAGAGGAAGAAGAAGAGATAGCCGTATGCAATACAAATGCGGTGTTATGTAGAGTAGTTTATAATATGTATTCAGTAGTATACATATCTAGTAGTACCTACGAGAAAATACTTTATTTTGCTATGTGGAAAAAGTTAGGTTAGGGTGACGGGCATGTAAAGTGAACACAGAAATATGTAATACACATTTATTTAATGAAAAAATAAATAAAATTAAAAATAAAAAATCAGTTATAATAATAAAACAAGACACAAATTTAAAAATTAAAAAAATAAAAGGTCTAATGCCAAAACAAATCGTTAATTGACTAAAGAGTTAAGCAAAAAACTGAAAAGGGTATAAAAGCTGCGTGGCTTTGCATTAAGCCCCATAGGATTGCCAGAAAGAGATACGACTGTCATAATTGTCATATTATGGAAGAGCATGAACAGGCCATCGAGATGATTCGTCTGTATAAAAATCTAACACGCTCGAGTATGTCAATAGGACTATTTTTTTCGCATCTTCAAGGAGACACCACGAGCTTGCGTCACATCTGAATCGTCAGATTATTGAATGATAGCTTCATTCGGGCAGCTTTGGTTTATTCACTATTAATATCTGAAGCGCTCGAGTATAGCCTTGTGACTGTTTTTTGTTTTTTTTTTTTGGGTTTAAAAAAAATAGTTCGCTTTTGAAATGTACTGGTAACGAAACACATATTATTATAAGCCTTAATTATTTTATTTTTCATTTTCATCCGTGGAACTATCATCATTCAGTCCTATGACTGTGAAAAAAATATGAACAGAAAACAGCAATGAATTAAGTAATCAAAAAAAAAATTCAGAAACAAGCTGTAGAAATTTTAAATACAGTAGGTACGCGCGCTAAACTGTGTTGACGATTTTCGTTATTTCGACTTATGAAAACCGGCAGATTATATATTTCCCTTTATACTTGAACTGTTTTCTGAAAAAGAAAAACAAATTGGCCCTACTCGAGAATGTCAAGGGAACGTTTTTTTTTTGAAGTTTGCGACGAAGGTGATGGATACCTTTCTGTAGAAGCCAATGATGTATAATTAGGGGTTAAGTCCGGAAGAAAAGGACTTCCTTCGTTCTGAAGCCGGTGGAATTTTAACTTATAAGAAAGAAATATGTATGCGCAAAAGTCAAATATTGTCGAGGAGCAATACAAAATGAATGAAGGCAGTGTCTTTTTTCGTTCCGAAAGAACAGAATTTTCAGAAGTTATCAAAGCGTCAGCAAAAAATGTAGAATCTCTTGAAAAAATCCTGCAATGCGATCGGAATAAGACTAACACTCTAGCATTTGGTATTGTAATGATCCTCCATGAATCTTCCTTCTCTAGGACAATTGTAAAGGATCCCGCGTCGAGCATTTAATATTAATTAGTAGTTAGGAATTACAGGTAAGAAAATCAGTTGATTCAGTTGCTGATCAGTGATTATATGCCATTTAAGTATTATGCAGGCTCAGATTATTAAAGTTCCTTAATTAGCCTTTTTTTAATCGCTTGACCTATTTGCGTCAAATCTAGTATATACCAAAATTTTTTTTTTTGGAAGTTTATGCCAAACTAATTATAAAAATAATTATAGGTTTTGGTTTATTACATTTATAATTTTAAGCTTTATACGTTGGAAAAGGTAAATAAAAAACAAACAAAATTAATATAAGTCAGTACTTTAAATCAAAGATAAAGAAGTGATTAAATCGATTAAAAATTAATATTCAAAAACTTTACAATTAAAATATAAAAAACCAAACAGAACAGAAGTAACTATGACTTAATATTATTTTTACAACACCAACAAACGTGTTAATAAAAAAGGATTTTTATAGACGCAAAAATGCAGGAGAGCTTTTGAAGGGAACACATAAACGAACACACTGACATGCACTGAGTGACTATGTATGTATGTGTATGTGCCGGTGTATGTATCACATGTTAAGCAAACTAAACACAATTTGACTATCAGTTGACTGGCATAAGAAAAAATGTATGCAGCATTTAAATTTATTGCGGCAGAAGGGGAAATTAACAAGAAATATTGTAAGAAAGGTTAATAAGGGTATTCACAATAATACAAAATGCAAATATGTATGGCGAAAGCGATATAAAAAACAATTACATACCGATAAAAAAAAAACATTTTTTTTTTTTTAGCAAAAAAACACTTAAGCAATTCGCCAATGTGAATACCCATTAAATAGTTATGAAAGGCTTTAGTGTTCAATTTTGTTAAACAACGAAACACAATTTGAAAATAAATTGATTTATAATGCGTGTCGCCGGTGGCGTATGAGTAACTTTGTGTGTATCTAAATGAAAAGCCAGATGTCAACTCCTAGACCGGTGGCGTTTGGTACAATGTAAGCTTTACCGTTCATTCGGTACTACTGTGTAGCTGTACATAAAAATGCGTGCGTGTTCACTTGTCTGTATGTGTGTGCGTGTGTACACATGAGTCTTGCTACATGTTTTACAAACAATTTAATTACTCTCTCTCTCTCTCTCATTTTCCAGGAATAATTTAATTATTTTTTTTTTGTGCATTTTCAATATAGACAAAATAATTAAATATTAACGCCTGGACCTTTGGTGAATATGTTTGTTGCCTTTCACAAAACGACTTACATTTGCATTGCAACTACATATACATTTAATCACCAGTCAGTGATATGAAAGCATTGGAAGTGATTGCAAGATTTTGATGCTTTTTGCAAACTTACCTCCTGTGGTGGGACATCGTAGGTGCGCGTACGCAGGTCCACGCGGGCATACGAGTCAATGCAGGGCAAAATGAAGAAGATACCTGTGGGATGTGATAAATTTAAATTCAATTCAAGCATATTAAAAAGTCTTTTTAAAAAGAAATGTGTTCTAAATATGGTGCTTGGATTTTTAAATTTGAATTTGGGTTTATTTTTGTATTTTTTATTTTTTTTTCAACTTTCTGTAACTATCTTTGATTCTTTTTATAAATCCAAAGTAACAATTATTTTTGATTTTTAACTAAATAATCTGCAAATAACAGTTATTTTTTGATTTTTCTATTGTATGTCTTAGATAACAGTTATCGAAGACTTTTATTTAAAAAAGTCATCAATTAAAATAAGTCAGTGACTTTTACTTTTAAATCTTTACATCTCCGTCTTCGCTCACGTAAAACTATTCGTATTCGTTTTCTCTTTCGTATAACTATTCGCTTCAATCTTCGCATTCGCCGCCGGATTCTACTTCGTATTCGTGTTTGCCTTCGGTTGCTCTGCGTATTCGTTTTTGGATTCGTAATTGTCTTCGTCAAAAATTTAGATGTCACGATATGTATCAGTAACTCGATAAAATCGAATATTTCGATAGCTAACTAAATTCCGATATCTTTCGATAACTCGATTCATCATGGTAACTCCATTAAATTCGATAAATAATGATAACTCGATAAACTTATATTACCCAAGAACTTTTGATAAATCGATATACTTTGAAAATTTCAATGACGTCGATTACGTAAACTGAAAATTTACGCCAACTACGAACAAATTTCGATAAATGAGTAAATATCGATAGTTCGATAAGGCGAAAACTCGATATTTAATGATAACTCCATATATTTTGTTAATTCGATAAACTTCGATAGCTCATTGAAATTTCGCAGTTTTTATATATGTTGATACTTCAATAAATATCGATAACGTGATAAATTTAACTAACTCGCCAAATTTTCTATAATTAAATAAATTTTGGAACTCGCAAACTGTCGGTAAATTTGTGCTTTGATAAATTTCAATAACTCAATAAACATTGATCAATTTGAATAACTCGATACATTCCGATAACCCAATAATCATGGATAGCCCGATAAATTTCGACAACTATAAACTTCGATGACTTGATAAATTTGGATAACTTTGGATAACTAAATACTTGATGACTGTATATATTTGGCTTTTTTTTTATCGAAAAATTTCAATAAATCTTCTTATTTACATATTTGTGTTTCTCATTGTTTCATTATCTGAGAGTGCGTTTGTCTGAAGGTTCGTGGAGAAAGAAATGACTGGAGGCTAAACAGCAGAGTTAATTTGAATTATATAGGGGTTAACTATTTGTATAATACCTGCATTAGTTAGTTCTTTCTAGCTAATATTTTAGGTCTGGAATTGCAGCGGTGTAGAAGAACCTAAGCCCTTCAGCATCAATGGAAAAATTCGTTGTTTTTCTGATATAGATCCGACCCCGATAGCCACCGAATAACGAATTCTAAAGGAGAATCCGGAAATATTTAAAAACTCTTCTGCCATAATGGATCCGCCATTTTGAATTAAAAAGATCGATTTCAGAAAGAAATGGATAAGTATATTCGCCTTCTCGCAAAAATAGCGTCTTTAAAGCGGAGCAGTGAAGACGCCATTTTGAATTTTTTAATTTCCCACATTTTAGTTGACAGACTGCATTTATTTTAATTGATTGCAATTTAGGGCAGAGCTCTGTGTCGGCCGATGTGAATCGTCCCATATGTATGCACTATAACCATCATATACGTATGCAATTTATGTTAATTATATGGCCACTTTAAAATGCATAACAATGCACAGTTTTGTATAATTAAAGTTAATTAGACAAAGAAGTGTTAATTAAATGCTAGTGACATCCTTAGCTTTCTTGCGACCTTTCTTTGCAAAAAAATTACCATTTCACATTTGACACTAAAATGTGCGCAATTTATGCTTTTGTGGCCAATTGAGCACAACAACTTTGTTGCAACGTCCGTCCCCCCTACGACCTCCTTGTAGCGACACTAACACCAAAACACCAAGCAGGAGGCTGAACTAACAAGGACGCGAAAAAGAAACACAACAGTGCGAACACCGCTGAAGAAATATGTATATGGAACGGCTGCAACAACAGCAGCAACAATAGCAGTAAAGAGTGCGACAGCGACAACGACAACGACAGCTACAGCGAGAACAAGAACGCTTAACAACACAAAAGACTCTGAGAATAAACGCAACGCGCGCACGATGGCAATGCCAAATGCTAAGCATACATACAGTGACTCACTAGTGTTCACGTGTTGACTTATTTTTTATATATTATTAGAATGTTTTTTAAGATAAATTTTTTTTTTATTGTTTTTCTATACAAATATTGTCCAAGCTTTTGCCAACACCAAATAAATCAGAGTTTTAAACTTTATACAAAATTTAGGAAATTTCAAAATTCCAAGCGGTCTAATCTGAATCTTTGCAACATTTTCATGCATGCAGTATACATACAATTTCAGTCTCATGAATTGCAAGTTTCAAGCTGGTAAAAACGCGTTGATTTTTAATAATTCTTTTTGTGGTGACTACGTTTTTTTTTTAATTAATAAGTACCATTTACAAAAACTGGCGTTGAATTTTTGAAATTTTCCTGCGAACGGTTTCCCGTATTTTATTACATAAGAAATTCCTACTTACATTGAAAAAGTGCAAAAATTCACCACCAAAAAAAATATTAAAAATCAATGCGACATTTTAGTCGCAATAAACTTTAAACGAGACTAAAATTGTATGGCCTATAAAAGTGCATACACAAAAATGTCGTAAATATTCGGAATAAAAAGCTCAAAATTTTAGTATAATTGTAGTGAATTTCCCTAAATTTTGTATAAGGTTTGAAGCTCTGATTTATTCGGTTTTGGCTGAAATTTAGATAAATAACAAAAAAAAACTTTAACTTGGAAAGCGTGAATATTTAAAAAAAAAAATACGTGAATACTTGTGTGAGTCACTGTGCTTCCATATTCACTCCAACACTTATGTAAAAGCAGAAATATGCAAAGGCATGTTTGCATCGTCGAATGCACATACATACTCATGCGACTTCTGGGCTGTTTGTTAGTATTTATGTAGTATGTGTGCCTGTGTGCATTATCGTCAGCTATATATGGGACGTTCCATACCCGAACGGACGGCGTTCACACTTCATGTGTTTGATTTGTTTCAAATTTTTAGGGTTGATGCATAAACATAAACAATAAATAAACAAAAACAAATCCATTTAATATTTTTCCAAATATCTCGAGAAGGGGCGAGGAAATAATTTGAAAAAAATCACACATACGCACATCAAAATTCCCAATGAAAATAAATATTAAAAATTTTTTTCTTGAAAAATTTTTCACATACAAATGTTTTGCTAAAAAAATTTATTTTTGAAAATATGCCATCTAAAAACAAAAAAATTTAAAAAATCACAATTTTAGCTCTGAGTATTGCGCAGTATTTAGGTATCGCATTATCGGATGCACTCTACAATAATTTGAGTTACGAATTTTTTTTACATAGAAGTTCAGAAAAATGAGTACATTACAAATTTACACATTTTTTTTTTAATTTTTTTTGAATTTTTTGAGTATGCAGTTTTGTAGCCCAATAAATTCTAGTATAATCAAGTGCAAGTTATAAGCGAGTAAACAACTGGCGTCAACTTTTTAATTTTCTTTGAAAACGGTTTTGCGCATTTTCTTCCATAAGGAAAAGTGCAAAAAGCCGTCAGCATAAAAAATGTTAAAAATCAACGCAATTTTGCGGTAGCTTAAACTTTGCACTTTTCTATACTAGAATTTAATGGGCTACAAAAGTGCATACTCAAAAAAAAAAATAAAAAAATTTAAAAAATTTGTAAATTTGTAATATACTCATTTTTGTCATTTTCAAGAAAACAAATTTTTAAAAATATTTCTTTTCGTAGGGAATTTTGATGTGTGTATGTGCGATTTTTTCAAATTTTTTTCTCAACCCGTTCTCTAGATTTTTGGAAAACTATTAAAATTAATTATGTAAAGTTTTCAAAAATTTGTTAATGAAGCTCAAATTTCATATTTGTTTATTATTTATGTTTATGCATCAACCCTAAAAATTTGAAACAAATCAAACACATGAAGTGTGAATCCCGTCCGTTTGGGTATGGAACCCCCCATATAGGCATTGTACATATGTACATACTTAACATAGCATCAAGCGACCGAGCGAAGTGAATGGTGTCGCCGGCGATGGCAAACAAAACTTTTTACCACAAACGAATGTCGGCTGGCGGTGCTGCTTCACATCGCCTCGAAAAATGCTGAAGAATTGGATCAAGTGCTGCAATTAACACAAATTGCCATTGCGCTCCTGCAGCCGCAACAGTGGCAGCTGCTGTCGATGACAATATATGTATGTACGTGGCCCATACTTTCTTATGTCCTTACATATGTATGTATGTTCATGTGTGCATGGACGTTAAATGTGGCGGCAATGCCCATTTGGAAATTGTCTTCCCCAATAATTATAGTCATTAACGCACATTAATCGAAAAAGGGAACTTTTTATGTATTTTATCGTGAAGATAGAGAACTTTTCTGATTTTTTTTCGAATTTGCTCCTGGGTTAGAGGATTTAGTCAATTGAGTCTTCGATTCTTATGGTACAAAGTCGAAGGGTATTTACACTCAAACAGTTCTTCAAACTATATTTTTGGGTTCCAGTTGCCTGTGCTAATAAGTCTAACTATAAATCTTATGCAGAATCTTTCCAAAGATCTCAGCATCGGTGGATGTCGCCGTAAATGCGTAGGCACTGAGAGTGTGGTTTTTGGATTATGAAGATGAGGACTTAAGCCTTGAGAAGCCAGAAATAGTGCCCGAGCAAAAAATTGTGAATATCAGGCATATTCTTGACTTACCAGGCCATCGCTAGCTACCAACTGGTCCCTAAAAGGCGCACAGCCAGCCAGATTAAGCTAACGTTACAAAATGTAAAGCTATATTGATAAGGTCCAATCAGTTAATTTACGATGGGTTTCAAACTTTCGCACAAAATTTTCGAGCGAACTGTATACTAAATGTTTGAAAGGTATTTGCGTGCGGTATGTATTTAACGCAGATCACAAGATCACACAGACAAGGCCAAAATTTCAATTGGCCGACATGCTTTCGCCCAACCCGAATTGATATAAAAACATATCAAAGAGTTTTGTTGTAGCAGCTAGCTGTCTAGATAGGATTGTTCGTCAATCGTTGTCGTCAAGCTCAGTTAACGCTAGGCCCAGGAAGCGTGCCTCACGGACGGAGTCGGACCTGAGGTAGAGGGATGTTAATTGAGTTGAGTTATGTGGGCTAAAATATTTGGTATAATGCGAAGACTAACCACACGCGTGACATACATTGAGTACCTCGGCGTCCAGAAGAGTTGAGTCTGCTGCAGTAGCTAGACTGAAGTTGTGCCAGCGATGCGCGGGTCTCCCGTGCTACTTGAAGTTCTATCTCGTCAATGGTCGAGGTTTGTTCTCGTTTAATGGCATTCACAAGTCGGGAGTTGGTGTAGGTTGCGACAGACTCCGCTTAAATTCCGTTTATGGGCTGCCAGAGTCGGTTGCAGTGGTTGCGTCTTGTATTGTTGGGCCTAGTCCTTTAGCTCACAGAGATGCTTTCCGAAAACATTAATTTCTTTGGTGCAGAAGGACGAATTGGTATTAAAAATGCCCCTTTAAAATTTTATACTTGAATATCCTTGAAAATTCCCGATATTTATTTTAAAAAAAAATATACGTTAAGGACTAATAAAACCACGTCCCCATCCTCAAATTTCGTCCTTATTAGCTATCCATTCTTGGCGGAGGTAATTCATTTTGAAATTTCAAAATTTCGTAAGTTTGTGAAGTTCAAAAAAAAAAATATTTTTAAGGTACATATTTGCAGGAAAGCCATTTTATAATATGTTACTGAGCAGAGCCATATTAAGTAGTGGAGTTCTAAGTCTCGAGTGATTTCAAACATTTCACATTCACGGAATCAAACAAAATTCCTCTACACTAAATTACCTCAAAGAAATTGCTTTAAATATTTCAACGATTTTCGCTTCAACTTATACGATAGTACTTATATAAATATGAGACTTTATTTAATAAAAAGTACGGATATAATTTTAAAGGCACAATTTCCTAGCGTGCTTCTGATAAATCGCAAGTATAATGATTTCAGTAGCGCTTGCTTGAATCTATGTACATCACTCACATTCAACTTACATATTTTCAACCATACTCATATTCTTACAAATACTTATACTCACCAGGACCCTTGGCGCCTCCCTGCATAAGACGACCCAAACGAAATATGACAGCACGTTCATATTCCTGAACGACCTGTAATTTTAAAAGATATGAAGAATGGGAAGAAGAATAATAAAAATTATGCGCATGAATGGCATAGTTATTTGAAAAGATTGTTTGTGTGTGTTTGTAAATGTGTGTCGTCGGCATGCGTCTGCAATGTTAGTGGTAATGGCAGCTGTTGCTAGAGTACATAGTTAGGTAGGCCAGCAAGTTGGGGCAGCGGTAGTCGAACACAAAAGCTTCTCTCGCAGACAGCTAAAACTGCAAAGCAATAAAATAAATGATTTTCAAAGCTGCAACTGCTGTTGCCAGTGCTGTTGTTGGTTTCTACCTGTTCACCGATAGCTGCTGGCTAAATGCATTCAGTTGGAAAGGTGTAAAGATCATTTATTATTCCATTCATTTGCAGCTTTGCTATTTTGATTGCCTTAACCGAGGAGCAACTAGCGCCACTGCTGAACTATATATCGCTTTTAATGTGGATTTTTAAGCAGCTGCAGATGCACACCTCCACAACATACATACATATGTACCCTGTAGGAAACTTAAGAGACAGTCTGGCAAAGCGCTAGTTCCATCATAAAAATTTTTAGAACTGTCACTGAACTACTGAAAAACGGCTGGCAGAGCGGAACAGTTGACACTTCCGCTGCCGTCAAATTTACTCACATTTAGCATCTGAGAGCTGAGAAGTAAACATATAAATTCTAACTTCTAGCACAATATGAAAAAAGCTCCACGCGAAGACCTCGGACTCTAACACCGTTGGTCGCGGTGGGGGCAGTTGTGAATTTTCGTATTTTTAATAAATTGAAATTGCTACTTAACTTAACTTAATAAAAATAAAATAAGAATAAAAAAATTTAATAAAATCTGTAAAAGAGAAGGAAAAACCAAAAACTCTCCAAAACGAGAATCTTAAAAAATTTTTTTCTCATAAAAAGCTTATGGTTCCATATCTGTCCAAAAAGAACCCGTCCAGAATGAGTTCAGAAGCTCTGCAGAGGGGGTCAACTGCCGCTTCGTAGTTGAAAGCATCGATTTAGGATAGATGAAGAACCAGTACCGTCCCCTGTCAAGCTAGTTCGGCGCGAGTACCGAACCGATTTGATTTCTTGCAGGGTATATACTTTGCTTGCATGTGCGTGTCTGTACAAGCACATAATTCATGGCGTACTTACCTTAAAGCAAACGAACAAACTGAACGGCAATGTGAGTACGACAAGTGCGCAAGATAGAATTATCAGCAGCTTCCCACACGTTGAGGCCTTATCGCTAATTTCTTCCTCGGCTGTAAAATGAAATTGCGGGAAAGAATTAGTAAATTGAACATGTTCACATAAATGCATTTAAAGTTTTGGATTGTTTTTTATTAGATGTTAATTTAGACCTAAATCATTTATTTAGTAAGTTGGAATGATAAAAGTGAAATTAAAAACAAATAATTTTTAAGCAAAAAACAAAACCGACTTCAATACTCATATACAAATTTCAGATTATCGTTAATTTCTCCATGGTAACACCTTTCCTTTAAAAAAAAGAATAATAGAAATCAGTTAACGTGGTCCAAAGTTATGCGGTAACATACAATAAAAAAAAAGATTCCGACGAATTGATGACCTTCTCCTTTTTGTGAAGTCGGTTAAAAATTGCAGCATTCAAGCATTTTTGGTAGGTTATTACTTGCTTACATATACCATCAAATTTAAATTAATTTTTTAAAACTAATTTGTGTTCTTTTTTTACACCAAATCAATATATTCACGAAACTAGGGACCAAAAATAGAACTGCGTTTTCCGTTTTTCACTCTGATGTCAGGATTTTTTAAAAGAACTTTGAAATATCAAAAATAAAATTACTTCAAAAAATTATTTAGAGAATTCTGGGCAATGTAGAATATCAATATAGTTATGCAATAAAAGCGAAAATTTTGTAACATTAAAAAGTTTAAACTTTTTTCTAAAGTACCAAAAGGCAATAAGAAAATGCACGTTATTTTTACTTATATGAATTCGCCTTGAATTCAGTATTTGAAAAATTGTGAATTTTGCTACTTGTAGTATAAATAAATTTAAAAAAATAAAAGAATATGGTTTTTTTATAGGGAATAAATATATCCTTATAAATGAATAAATAACGCAATAATATCCTTAAAATTTTTCCTTATAAAAATATTAAAATTTTGATATATACTTATAAAAGGATTTTCTATATGTATATATAAGCATCCCTTTAAAAGATAAATAACTTTAAATATTCTTAAAAAAGGATAGTAATATCATTAAAAAAGTAGCACAAAAGTATCCTTATAAAAGGAAAATAAATGCTTAAATGGGTAAAAATATCCCTTAAAAATAATAAGAATTTTAAAAATAACTCCTGAAAAAAGAATATCTAGAATTTTGTCCTTTTAACATTATTTTCTTACCACCACCCATTCCTTTATTATTTTAATTCTACAGAATTTTCTCCTTCATTTGGTATTGCAAATGCATTTATGAAAAAAATACAGAATATTTAAAACAATTTTTTGATTTAACCATATCTTTGAAATTTCAAATTCCTTTAAAAAGAACCTCACGCTAGAGAGAAAAATAAATCGCTGCGGGAGTAGATTGACTGTTTTGAATGTTTTGAGACTTCCTGTTTTTTTTTCGCACAGTTTTATTAGTAAAACAGCCTCTAAGGTTTAATTTTTTCTGAATTGTGACATATTTCTGAGATATTTCTATTCTATTTGTGAGATATTTCTGAAGTTCACCAGACTTAGGCGGTACATTTTTAGGTCGAATTTATTAAGAATGGGCAAACAACAAACTACTACTCTTTCCCTCGACAAACTGCTAAGACTCATGAAAAAGCCTGATACGTTTGCGGAGGAGCATTTAGTTCCCATCACACCTTCATTTCCCCAACCTTTAATACTTTCTCTATGCCTTAAGTAGAATGGGAAATATTGCCTCAGTACTTGGAAAAATAGTTTTTGATTTTTTCGAATATCCACGATTTCATTCACTGAGCTGCGGTTTATCACTGTCGCATTACCGATTGTTTCTTTTTATAGCTAAGTTTGTAACGGGTGATTTTTTTTGAGGTTAGGATTTTCATGCATTAGTATTCGACAGATCACGTGGGATTTCAGACATGGTGTCAAAGAGAAAGATGCTCAGTATGCTTTGACATTTCATCATGAATAGACTTACTAACGAGCAACGCTTGCAAATCATTGAATTTTATTACCAAAAAAAGTTGGCAGAAAATCCGCTTTTTTATCGACAAATTTTGTTCAGCGATGAGGCTCATTTCTGGTTGAATGGCTTCGTAAATAAGCAAAATTGCCGCATTTGGAGTGAAGAGCAACCAGAAGCCGTTCAAGAACTGCCCATGCATCCCGAAAAATGCACTGTTTGGTGTGGTTTGTACGCTGGTGGAATCATTGGACCGTATTTTTTCAAAGATGCTGTTGGACGCAACGTTACGGTGAATGGCGATCGCTATCGTTCGATGCTAACAAACTTTTTGTTGCCAAAAATGGAAGAACTGAACTTGGTTGACATGTGGTTTCAACAAGATGGCGCTACATGCCACACAGCTCGCGATTCTATGGCCATTTTGAGGGAAAACTTCGGAGAACAATTCATCTCAAGAAATGGACCGGTAAGTTGGCCACCAAGATCATGCGATTTGACGCCTTTAGACTATTTTTTGTGGGGCTACGTCAAGTCTAAAGTCTACAGAAATAAGCCAGCAACTATTCCAGCTTTGGAAGACAACATTTCCGAAGAAATTCGGGCTATTCCGGCCGAAATGCTCGAAAAAGTTGCCCAAAATTGGACTTTCCGAATGGACCACGTAAGACGCAGCCGCGGTCAACATTTAAATGAAATTATCTTCAAAAAGTAAATGTCATGGACCAATCTAACGTTTCAAATAAAGAA